CCCCAAAACCCCAAAACCCCAAAACCCCAAAACCCCAAAACCCCAAAAGAGAATATCATAGTTGAAAATAAGAAATAAGATTTTTGATTTATAATCCCTTGACTTCAAAGTTAATTCCGTTAGTTTTATCATACCCCTGAATAGCAATACGGGAGATCCCTCACTTCCTCCTCATTCTAACCAACTCGCTTTCTGAGAAATCTGAAAATATGATGATTTGGCTAAGAGAGAACTTAAGTGAGGATTGGCCAATTGCTTCGAGTATGGAATAAAGTCTTGTAGGATGTTCACTCCAGTCGAAATAATCACTATAACCAGAATCATTGGAAAAACCTCCTTCCTGGAGATCGTGAAGATGCTTATCTCCTCATGTATCAAAAAGAATGTTCTTGAGCTTGGTTTTCAAGTCCTTTGGGAAAAATACACCCTCAGAATTGATTTCACAAGAATGAAAAGATAACGAGGTAGCCAAGTTCAAGGATACCACAAGTTTCTGAAGATGCCTCTTCGAAATCTTCACTTTATGTAAAGCTAGCTTATTTGTGACAAATGGCGCTATTCTGAGAAGAGATGGTAAGAATGAACTTAGACATAGTAGCTTCCCTCCATCTGTCTTTGCTAAGTCAAAGTTTTCGATCATTGATAAATGCAAATTCTTCAATACAGTAATCATTTTCTTGTTCAAAGTTCCATTTTTAGTGCCAATATAGAGCCTTTGGCATTTTGTGATTCAAGTTTTGGACTTGGCGAAATCTTTCAAATAGTTTTGGTTTAGGATCTAGATATATAAATTAGCTAAAAGTTGCATTTTTATAAAATTCTAGAACTTGCTTACCTTGGTATTACTAAAACTTAGAATTTGGCTTCCATATTGTTTAATTGTTTGTGCGTTCTGGTTAAAATAAGTATCTCCAAAGTAATGGATTCATTGGAGATTTAAAGACTTTTCTTCATTGTAAACTGTTCTCTCATCACCAGCTATAATCTTTTTCAGCGAACTCGCCATTGATCTTATGTATTAACAAATTTCAATAACTAACAACTTTTTGGGGTTTTGGGGTTTTGGGGTTTTGGGGTTTTGGGGTTTTGGGG